GAGAGAAATGGAGATTTCAGGTTAGACACTACCCTGGGGGCAGGGAGGGGTGGGACACGTGGGTAGAGATTGGTCCTGGGCCTTGCATGTTCCTCTTGTTGAAGGGGTGATTTCTGCAGGAGGTGTGAGGGGTCCCTGTAGGACCCTCCTGAGCCCTGAGAATCTGTTCTGTGAGAACAAATGTTGCCTGGGCCCTTCATGTTCGTTTCTCTCTTTGCAAACCTCTTTCTGCTTTTCCCTTCCTTCTGCACGGAGGAAAAAGGCAGGTTCTGAGGACTCGTTGTCATGGTGGTTATCCTGGCCTGTCTGCCAGCATGCCTCTTGGGTGTGAGTTCCTCTTGGGGAGGGGCCGGGGGGAGCCCTGGAAGGGGAGACTGGAGGCCTCAGGCTTGCCCTGGCTTTGCTACCAGCAGAGAGTGTTCTCTCTGTGCCTTGGTTTCCCTCCTGTATGGGGAAGTGTTGAGCTGCCCCCAGGGGGGCAGGGAACACTTGAGGAGGCCACATAGCACAGTGGTTCAGAACCCAGCCTCGGAGTCCAGGCGTGGGTGCGAATCCTTGCTCTGCCGCTTGACTGTGAGAGTCTGGGTCAATGACATAACCTCTCTGAGCCTCACTTTTCTCATCTGTGAAAATGGGCCAACCATAGTACCTGCATCACAGGGTTACTGTGAGGGTTAAAGGAAGAAACACACATAAAGCACTTAGCAAAGGCCCTGCACATACCACACCCAGTTAACAGAGGCTGTTAGTAATAGTGACCTGTGTAGTTGGTCAGGTTAAGGGGTTTCGCCTGGTGGGCGGTGGGAGCCATGGGAGATTGTTGAGCAGGAGCATGTGACACCTGTAGTTTGAGGGGGCAGCTGTGAGTGTGGAGACTGGGGCTGAGTCCTCTTGGCAAGCCCCTGAGCCTCTTCGACCTGCCAGAGTGAGAACCGACAGCTGGCTCTGATGGACTGTCCTTTCCTTCTCCACCTGAGGGTCTTCACTGACTTGGCATGGGCAGCCTCTGCCTTGTATAGGCCCCTCGGGGATGGAGTGGTCCTTTTCCCTAAGGTCTCCTATAGGATCCCTTGTTTCTACATCCCCGTGGCTGACCTTAGGGAATGTGAGTGAGGGGCTTTGAGGGGACTTGAGTTGCATGTAGGGCTTTGGACAGGGCTGGCAGGGGCAGGGCAGGCCTGAAGTGGCATTCCACTGGGCACTTGGATGTGGCCTCAGTTCCTGGTCCGGATCCAGGCTGGGGGTGCTTGCGCCAGTGGAGCTATGGAGAGGTCGACAGTGGGCAGAATGTGGCCCCCTCAGGACCCACACTTCAGTGGTGCCCAGGCATGCCGGCCGACCCTGTGCTTTTGCAAGCCTGTTTCCCAGCAGTTGAGCCATGCCAGGATGGCCAAGGACATTTCAGAGTCCCTCAGGGCTTGCAGCCAGGCTGTCACCAGGCATTGCTTGTTTTCCCAGGCTCCAAGGGTTTTTAGGGCTGGAGGGGGCTCTGGAGATATTCCAGGGCCTTTTTTAACAGCTGGGTAAATTGAGATCCAGAGAGAGTAAGGCACTTGACCAAGGTCTCACAAGGCCACCTCCCTCCTATCTGTCACCTCCCTCTGTTCCCATGTCCCTTGCTCAGACTCCTGGCCTCCTGCCCGGACGTTTGTAACAGCCTCCATCTTGTGGGCCCTCCAAGAGTTTTGTTTGTCCTCCTATTATCATAATCTTGCCATAACCTGCCAGGCACACGTGCTGTTTGAGTAAATCTGGTCTCCTGTCCCCTCCAGTCCCAGACGGAGCAGTGCAGCATGGAGGTTCTGGGCTCAGGCCCCAGAGCCAGACTGAACTCAGTTTGAATCCTGCTCTGCCCCTTCCTAGCACGGCAACCTGGGGCAAGATACTTCACATTTCTGAGCCTCAATGTCTCTGTCTGTGAAAAGAAAGCAGTAGCAGTACTTAATTTGCGAGGATGTCATGGTGGTTGAATGAGATAACGTGTGAAGGGCTGGGTATAATACCTGCACAGAGTGTTGTGTGGTTACTCAAAAATGGTCTGTTGTAAAGGCCCATCAGTGCTGGTTGAAGTGGAAGGCCAAGAGCATGGAGGGGTAGACGAAGCCTTGGACTGGGAGGCAGAAGATGTGGGCTCCAAGTTACTCTCAAACACTGCCTCACTGTGGGCTCTTTGGTAAGTCACTCTGCTGGGAACCCCACTCTCCTCATTTGAGAAAGGGGGAAGAAATCCCTGTTATGTTCTCATAAGGGTGTCATATGACACCAAAGCACTGACTGTGAAAAAGCTTTGCATCTGTGTAATGATTTAAAAATGGCATGGCGGTGGCTGTGTTGTACAGATGGTGATGAGGACGTTGTAGCCACAGTGGTGGACAACTGGCTTGGCTGGAGGCTGCTCAGCCTGTGAATGCTCAGCACCCACACAAGCTTCCCATCCCTGCCTGCTCCCGGCCTCCCTCAGCCTGCCTTTCACGTTAGCCTCAGCATCGCACACTCGAAGATGTGGGAGGTGCAAAGACCCAATGGCATCTTCCGGGCCCTAGCGGGTTTTGGGTTATCTGGGGCTGATGCCATGGAATGTAGGGATTAATGTCAGACACTGGTTTGAATCTCAGCTAAGCACTTCCCAGCTGGGAGCGTGAGCAAGTTGCTTAACTTCCATGAGCCTCAGTTTCCACATTTGTAAGACGAGGCCCTGCTGAAGTGGAGCCAAGCGTTTAGCAAAGGGACCAGCACATGGTCTGTAGGTGGTTGTATAAAGTGTTTTCTACCTGGAGCATGGTGACTGATGGGTTAACTGATAGCGGGGAGTGGGGCTGTTGTGCTCGTTGCTGGGGATGAGCTGTGGAGGTCGGTTGTGCTCCCTACAGAATCGCCCAGCACAGAGTTAGGAGGAGTTACCTGGCGCTATTCCATTTTTTTTTTTAATAACTTTATTTATTTCTTTATTTCTTTATTTTTTCCCCCAAAGCCCCAGTAGATAGTTGTACGTCATAGCTGCACATCCTTCTAGTTGCTGTATGTGGGACGCGGCCTCAGCATGGCCGGAGAAGCGGTGTGACGGTGCGCGCCCGGGATCCGAACCCCGGCCGCCAGTAGCGGAGCATGCGCACTTAACCACTAAGCCGCGGGGCTGGCCCCGGCGCTATTCCATTTTACAGGTGAGCAAAGCAAGGCCCAGAAAGGAGTGGGGGCTTGCCTGAGGTCACTGGCAGGTTAGTGCAGGCTGGGGCCAGGGTGAGGCGCCTGAGGCAGCTAGGGGCAAATTCTAAGGAGCGCTCAGGTGCTGCTGTGAGGTGGCGCTCACTCTCAGCGTCCTGCAGGTGCACAGGGACACCTGAGAGTGAGTGCCTCCTTAACCTTTATGTCTGCTGCCTCACTTGCCTCGCCCTAGCCTGGTCTAGGGCTAGAACTCTGGTTCCTGATCCCGTGAACTGTTCCTGAGCCTTGAGGGTGCAGGGACACCTGCAAGACATGTTCTGGAATCTCACCGAGGCCCCTGGGCCCCTTTAAAAGCAGCCTGTGTTAAGGTCCTCTGGAGCTTTTTTCTGTGTCTCTGCTCTCTGTCTGTGTTCCAGAGAAAGCGAGGCCTACTCCCCCTGCCAGCTGCGCCTCCATGGAAGCGTGTTGGGCCCCTCACACCCGAGGTGTATTGGCAGTGGGCTCCTGTTGTGGTGACAAGCCCCCGCGAGTCTGGAGGGACAAGGCTGCTTTCATGTGGGCCCCAGATGAAGCCTCCCTGGTCTCAGCAGGCTCCGTGTTGTACCCACCAGGCCCCTGGGAGATTAGGGGCTTCTGTGGCTCCAAGTGTCTCAAAGCTTTTCCCTTCCTCTTTGTTGCCCCCAGAGCACCTGGTTTCCCTCTGCTCTGGCCACAGGGCTGGGAGCCTTTTCTGCATCCCCAGGGCTTTCATGTCTTCTGGGCAGCCTGGTCTTGGGGCGTCTTTCCGGGTCAGTCTCCCCATCACCACTGCCAGGCCTGCTGGCTGGGCCTCAGGTGGCCAAGGCTGCTAATCACTGCGGGGTTCCTAGGATTTACCCAGGGCCAGTGGGATCCTAGGCCACCCTCGTGGTGTGGCATGAGAGGCCTTGAACTGTCAGCCCGGTGGTCTCCATCCCTAAGCAACATGTGTACAAACACACCGTCTTTTTTCCCCTGCTGCTGCTGTTGGGACCTGAAATTCTGATATTGGCAAGTTGCCTTGTGCTCTGCTCGGCATCCTCTAAAAAGGCAGATACCCTTGCAGGTGAATGCTTTTATGTGTTTGCTACTGAAGAGCAAGCCCAGGCTAGCCTGGCCCTTTCCCAGCTGCCTGTGTGACCGTGGCCGAGTTGCTTCTCCTCTCCGGGCTTTGTAAGGTCCTTTTCAGCCCTAGCGCCTCAACACTCTGGCACAGTTTCCACACTCTCCACAATGGCAGTCACCTTTCCTTCTCCTCAGGTGGGGCACTGGGGAGGGCCTGGCAGGTGAGCTAGGGTGGGGGCAGGGGCCAACAGCCAGCGTCACAGATGCTTTGACCACCAGCTGGCTCCGATAGGGGATATCAGTCCTTCTTCCTCTTCTTCTCCAGGCAGGTGGGGAAACTGAGGCCTGGAGTGGGGAGGGGCCTTGACTGAGATCACATAGGAAGTCAGACAGAGTTGCAGCCAGAGCCCGGTTATCCTCGCTGCCGGTGAAGGCTCTTTCCACTCCTGGCTGCCACTCTTCTTGAGAGAGACCAGAGGCCCCATCGGCATGAGGGTCGGGGACATACTTTCTCCTCTTCTGTGAAAGGCACCTCCAGGCGAGGGTCCCTGCCGGCTGTGGGGTCTCTGGGTATGGGGCAGAATCAGGCAGGCCACCCTCTTCCTGAGGTCCAGGCTGGTGGCCTTTGACAGGGACATGATGGGGGAGCTAGAGGCTTCCAGGAAGGTGGTTGGTGGCTCAGAGTGCCCTAGGGCCACCCTCCCAGGGAGGGGACCAGCTGACAGTAATGCCATTTGTCCTGACTCCGGGATTAGGTGCGGCCTTGTGAAGTGAGGAGTGCGGAGCCATTGAGAGGACGCAGCGAAGGGAAGCGGAGCTGAGTGGCCGTTGCCTGGAGCTCTGGTGGGTCGTGTAGTTCTCTCCCCAGCCTCCCTGTACCCTCTGACCATGGCCCCTCGTCCCCTCCCTCCTCCCAGTCCTCCCAGGTCTGTCTGGATGTGTGTGTACACGCAGTGTGTGCATGTTCATGCCCACACAGGAGGGGCCCAGGGGTGCAGGGGTTGGGGCAGGCTGGTCCCCCATCCTGGTGCTGGGTTCTGTTTCTGTTTAGGACCAGAAGCAGGTTCCTCAAGTGTCCCAGTCCCTGGGGCCCGAGGGAGATGGCCCAGGGCTGACCTGGCAGATTCCTGGTGGAGGGAGGAGAAGGAGGCGGCAGCTGAGGGGTGGGAGGGAAGGGCTCAGTTTCTCCTGTGGCTTCTCCTGACAGCTCTGCAAGTCCACAGATCCACCTGAAACCCACAGGTCTGAGAGTTAAAGATTTACCCCAGGGCCAGGGAGGGAGCTGGAATGGTGAGGTCCCAGGGCACTCAGATGTTATATTCGTGGCTTCAGTCCTGTCTAGACTGTGAGAGCCATGGCTCATCAAAGCCAGAGGGGCCCCTAGAGAGTTTCCATGTTCTTAACTTGGCTTTTGGTGGACCGGTCACAACCACCCTGAATTTGTATGGAATCTGGAGCCTGTCTTGGGAGAGCCCACTGACAGCCTTCATTAGCTTCTCAAAGGGTTCTGTAACCCCAGGAGGTCACAGACTTCTGATTTAGTCCACACCCTTCATTGTGCAATTGAGGAAACAGGCTCTGAGAAGGGAAGGGTCTTGCCCAGAGGCTCGCAGAGAGAGTGGAGGCGCTGGGATGCTGACATGGACTCTAGGCCCACATAGATTTTGGCTTCTGCGTCCACGAGATGGAGGCTACGCAACGACCCCTGCTTCTTTGAGTCTCTCAAGGGTCGTCTGGCGACCTGGGGTAGGCAAGCAGGAGGGCAGGGGCTGGGGCCGATGGCTTTTCTCAGCTCCCCTGCAGGAATGGCAGACAGGGGAGAAGTTGAGGGCATGATAAACTTGTTTCTACTGCATTGGGAATAAATGACGAATAAATGAGGTCACGATTGGGAAGTGCTTGGTATGGTACCTGGCACAGATCAGAGCTGTGAAGCACGTGAGTCACCGTTGTCCTTCTTTGGCCTTGTTAGCTGAGAACTCCTGCTTCTGACCCTCCTCCCTCTCTCTCCTCTTCCTTGGCGTGAGGCCTTTGCCTAGGGCATGGAGACAGCCCCCCCTTTCTCATGTGGGGTCCCTGCCTGTGTGGATGACAGAGGCTTCTGGCTCAGGGGAAGGTGAGAACCCTCCAGCTGAGGCCCTGTGTCTCTGGGGACCCTTGGTGCCCTTCTCTGCCAGTGAAGGCTTTCCTGTTGCTAGAGAAGGTGGGTCAGCCTCCATTTAGGCAGCTGGGGCTGATCATCTGCAGGAAGCCTCTCTTTTGGTGCCCTCTGGGCCTCAGACCTAATTCAAGAATGATGTGGAATGCTGGGCAGCAGGGCTGTATAGGGGCTACAAGCAGGGGCTGTGAGGTGCGCTGGCATGGGACCATCCTAGCTCTACCTCTGCCCAGCTATGTGACCTTCAGTCAGTCGCTTACCCTTTCTGAGCCTAGGTTTCCTCGTGTGTAAAGTGCATGTATCAGTGACACTACGTCTTAGGGTGTGAGGATTGGGTGTGATTAAACAGGGAAAACTGTCAGCACAGCCCCAATGTGGGGCTGGTGAGTCACCAGGAGCTCAGTCAATGCTGGCTGCTGTCAGCGAGGGAGGTTATGATATTTGCAAGGAAATATCATTCTATTCCTTTCGAGTGCCTATGATCTGAACCTAAGAGAAACAGTTAGGGATGGATTTGACTATGTTGTAGATGGATTTGGGAGCTGAGTGGAGAGAGAGCCCTGTTTTGGAGCTTCATGGGCTAATGAATAGCATGCCCTGTGATGGGCCTGCCCACCTTGGTCTGCGTTAGGAGCTTCAGTGGGACGGGAGGGCAGCTGGTCCTGACCTGTCTTGTTCCCCACTCCACCCCTCCCTGCAGCTGTCTTGTTTGTTTGCTCGGTAAACCCTTTCTTCAGAGCTAGTACAAAGGTAAACTCATCTCGGGTCCTGTCGGAAGAAAATAGATTCTCAACAAGTGGGGTCTGAGTTCCTGAGGTTTTCTGCTGGGGAACCCAGAACAAATCCTGGGTTGAGAACCTGGGAGTGAACCAGGGCTTCATGCTTTGTTTGCTTGTTGATTGATGGAAGATTTGTGGGTCTGCATCCAAGAAGGATCATTAGAGACTGCTTTTGATGTTAAAACACACATCAAATGGATGAAAACAAAACAGAAAGCACCATTCAAAGGGAGCAGAGAATGGGATGTGCGGGGTGCTGGCTTGTGTCTGCTGTCCTAGATGACCGCGGAGGGAGGGCCGTGGTGCTGAAGGGTGAACCCAGCTCCGGAGCTGGGCGCCTCCGTGCTCAGATTCCCAGTCACCCGCTTGTTAGCTCTGTGGGCTGGGGCAAGTCCTGGCCCCTCTGGGCCTTAGTTTCCTCATCTGTAAAAGGAGGGGGATTGTAGGTCATGGTGCTATTGTAAGGGTTAAATAATAGCATGTAGTACAGGCGTATCCTGTCTAATAAATGGAAATTCATATCATAATGCATTTAGGTTGGAGATTTCTCATAGCAGATTCAAAAAGGGGAAGGTAATTGGCAAGGGCACATCACTCTTGGACACCTACCGCGGGCAGGAGACCGCTTCCGCCTTGGAAAGCTTTTGGTGAGGTTGGGGGACCAGTGTTATAACTGCAAGAGTAGCCAACATCTGGCAGTGTAAATCTGGTGTTGTGTGGGGGGGATGCAGAGCAGGAGAGCTCATCCAGGACTTTTGAAATTCACAGCCGGCAGAGTCAACTCGGGGCTGAGGCTGGCCTTGGAGGAGGATAGCAGGGTTTTAATGGTTGAGAAAATGGGCCAAGGTGGGGGTGGTGGGGCAGCCCTGGTTGGCGCAACCCCAGCGGGTCGTTTTCTCTCTCTGGGCCTCAGTGTCCCCATGTGCTCACTGCAGGGTGGACCGCACACTCTGCAACCTAAGGCATTGAGCCAGACTGCCGACAGTCCCTTGGTGGCAGCCCTGGACTCTGGGGTGACTGATGGACAGCAGCTTGGCCCCCAGCCAGGCAGCGCTGTGGGGCTGTGGGGGATGGGGTGTGCAGCAGATTCCAGCAGAGGAAGGGATTTGCTTCTGGTCTCAGCCTCCCTGGGGTGTAATTGCGCTGGAGAAATTCCCGCACAGCTGGGAAGCAAATGTGGAGGATTTTCTGTGCTGTGCTGTACATAGTGGGTGGGGCAGGCTGGGGCAGGGTGGCTAGTGGAGCTGGGCGGCTGTGGGGTGTGGCTGGGTCGTGGGTAGTGGCGTGACTGTGCTGGGGGTGTGATGGGCTGGGAGGGGCTGGGTCGGCTGTGGGGAGTGGCCCCGGGATTGCATGTGGGGCTGCCAGTGCCTGGGCCAGCAGCCACCCCTCCTCTCCAGGCCCGGGTGCCCACGCACATACTTTTGAGCCTGCTTGCAGGGCTCTTCCTGCACCTCCTCTCAGCAACCACCCCGTACTTGTGCCTGGGGCCCTGGGGCCTGTGATCACACCATTTGAACATGTCAGCACCTTGTGAGTTTGCCTGTGCGTTTGTGTGCATGTGGGTGTGGGGGATGTCGGGGGCACTGTCAGGAATGACCCGGGCAGGGCTGGGTGAGCATGCGGGGCTGTGGGGACCTTCCTCTATTCACCCTGCAGCAACATTACACCAGAAACATAAACGCTTGGCGCCCAAAGGCCTGTCTTCAGTGCCCAGTGCCATGCTTGGGGCCTGGTAGTGCTCACTAAGCACAGGATGCAGGAACAGGGGACGGGTCTCTGCGGGTTCCTGACTCCCAGTGCACTCCCAAACCTGACCTCCCTTCCTCTCTTTCTGGATCCAGTATTAATTTGATATGTCACCTTGGGCCAAGCCTTCCTGAGCCTCAGTTTCCAAATCTATTGAATGGGTAATCATTTTATTAGCGTGTATCACTATGTGCCAGGCACTGAGCTGTTTTACACACATCATCTCTCTTAGTCTTAACAGCAGCCCCGCCAGATAGATAAGTAGTATAAACCCTGCTTTATACTTGGGGAAACTGAGGCTCAGAGAGGTTGAGAGATTTGCTAGTAAGGTCACAAGGCTAGTAAATGTTGGAGGCAAGATTCAAGCCCGGGCAGGCTGGCTCCAGTCTAAGCCTTTAAGTGCGATGCCAGCCGCCACTGTCCTGCTGCCTCTCAGGTTGTTGGGGTGAAACAGCATGATGCGTACAGCCCTTCCCAGGAGGCCTGCTGGGCGTAGTAGGCACCAAGTGCATCTGAGCTGGGTTATTAGGTGCATTTCACCACGAAAGGCACGGGAAGCTCAGTCTCAGCGAGCTCTTGGTCTCATTCCTGGGGCCCACCTGTCAGTCCAGGGCAGAGCTGGACCCCTTCCCCAGTTCTCACCTCTAGATAGCCTTTGTACCTCTGCTTCCTTTCTCTCTGGGTCCTAGAGAGGATTGTGGGGGACCAGAGCATTTTGGAATGGGGGTGGTGGGGTAGGAAGTGACTTTCAACTCCAGAGCAGTGGCCACAGTTACCATGGCATTTCCCGAAAGTGCAGCGTTGCCATGGCGTCTCCATGACGACCAGAGCATCTCATTCATTATCCCCAGCACCTTGGCAGGAAAAGCAGGGCCTAGGGCTGGGAGAGCACAGTGGGAGCCTGGCTGAGGGCTGGTGGCTGAGGCCCCCTCATGCTCTTCCCCATTCCAGCGAAGGTTCCTCTGCAGGCTCTGCAGCCATCTCCCTCTCATGGGGTCTAGGTTCAAATTGCTGACTAGCTGTGTGATTTTGGGCAAGCGACTTAACCTCTCTGAGCCTCATTTTCCTCAACTGTAAATGTGATTAGTGACAGTATTAGTTGTAAGGATTCAATGAGATAAGGTATGTAAAAGTGCTTAACACAGTGCCAGGCTCATGGTAAATGCCCACTGCATGGTAGCAGTAAAAACAGCAATGATCATTACAATGGTACTATTGTTTATTTCATTGTAGAAACCCCTGGGTTTCATGTCCAAATGAAAGACCAAATTTGAAATCAGGAAGGAAACCTGTTTGAGTCAATATTTAGCAGTTTCCTATGTGACTGTGGCAAGTCACTTCACCTTGGGTCCTCAGTCTCCTTATCTGTAAACTGGGAATAATAACAGCTGCTCGTTCATTCATATCCCGAGTCTCAATAGGGACCTGTGCCTGGGGGAGTGGTGGGAGCTTCCATGATGACTCAGACATGTCCCTGCCATTAGGGTACCCAGGCATGTGGGGAAGAGGAAGAAGGGCAGTTGGGATTTGTGGGGAGCCTCTGTGTGCCAGGCACCAGGCAAGACCTGCCTGTGCAGCAGTCAGTGGGTCTTGGTCCTGCCCTGGGATCTGCAGGCTGCGGGGTGCAGAGCTGTGTGTAGAAACGCCCTGAGTCCCCTATGCATGGACCACACGCTCAGGTGCCCCCAGGGCTGGGCAGGAAGCCAGATGAGGGAAGGAGGTTGGTTATGGGACTGTGTTAACTGCAGAATACATGGCCAGCCCCTCTGAGGCTGGCGCTGTAAGTGCCTCGTTGATGGTGGCCAGTGGGGATGCATGCCCAGTGTCCCCAGAATGTGCTCTTTTTAAAGAGAAGTTAGAAGTTCCTGACTTTTATGTGAAATCTCCTGATTTTAAAATGTTGATAACTAATCTCAAATTAAAGAAAAATGCTGTGCAAGCCAAGAAACACACATCCGTGTCCTGTTTTGGCCTGAGGGTCCTGGTTTTCAGCCTCCCACTGTGGAGTGGGGATGAGGCAGGAGCCTGAGGAATGGGTGGTGGATGGGATGACTTTCGAGAGGTGATGACATTGGAGCTGGGGTCTTGAAGGATGAGTAAGTGTCCCGAGGGAGGGAGGCATTCCAGGCAGTGGGAACTTTGTTAGCACAGGCCTCGATGCACGACCGAGACTGGTGCCTGGTTGGGCGAGGCTGGAGTTTAGGGAAACTGGTGCTGTCGGCGAGGCCCCGGCAGGCCCAGGGCGGCAGGGAGGCATTGAGCCCTCAGCCCCCAGCTGTCCTTGGGGCCTTGGTGGCTCCAGGGAGATTAGAAGCCCCCCAGTTCTCCATCCCTTGAGCCACAGGGCCTCTGGAATGCAGGCGGGCGTGGAGGGCCTTGAATGGCCGGCGCCAGGCCTTTGAGGGGGTGCAGTGGGGGCAGTGCTGGAGGCCCCCTGTCAGCACACTGGTGGCCAGCACCTTGTTTACGAAGTGACCGGCTCTCCCCCACCCCATCCCAGGGTTTGTGGCCTTCTCTGGGGACGGGGGCTGGAGGGCCCACTCTGTTTCTCCCTTCACCCCATCTCAGGCTTGGGCTCTGCCATGGCCTTCTGCCTAGCCTCCTGGCCGCCCACCCAGCTATGGGAAAGGCCCCTGCCTCTGAAAATGGGGATTAGGGATTCTGAGGGCTGTTGGAGCTTGAGAGAGAGCACGGAGTTTTACAGTGCTCTGTAGGCTGAGTTGTTACCTACATTGTGAATAGTTATGTAAGCCAACGGGGTGCGTGAAGACAGTGGCTGACCCTTACTCAGCCCTGGTGCCTGAATGGAGCACTTTATATGTAGCAACTCATTCAATTTTCACAACTTTGGGAAGTGTATCAAGTTTTCGTATTTTACAGATTAGGAAACTGAGGACACCGACAAGTTAAAGAACTTGCCCAAGATTACACAGCTACTGAGTGGGAGGGCTTGGGTTTGGATGAAGCCGCCTGGCTCCAGTCTGCATGGGTAACCATGAGGCTCTATTAACCCAAGGCTTAGGTCCATGGGTGTACTTGGGGTGCAGGCTCTGGACTCCTTGAAATTGTTACAGCATTTTCCAGCATATGTGCATATTTTTTATGGGAAAATGTCAGAGTCCCGCAGGGATCTATGACCCCCAGATGCCTGAGACTCTGCTGGTTGCATCATTAACGTACACGCCATTAATGCAACAGACCGAGGGCCTGTGACCGTAGTGCCCAGACCTGTGGGGGAAGTGGGGTTGGAAGGCTGGAGTGGGCAGGTGCCCCCTGGCCTTGGCAGGGCACCATCAGGGCAGCTCTACCTCCCCACCCACTGTGCTCTTGTCCTGGCCCCCGGCCAAGGGGTGGGGCCCACTATAGCAGGGCAGAGGGCTGCCCTTATCAGTGGGAAATGGGACATGGGTGCACCCTGGGCATAAACAGGGCCTGTCACCCCAGCCCTCCTGTCTCCACCCGGGAAGCCTGCCCCTTCTTGCCTGCTGTCAGCTGGAATTGCAGGGAGCTCTGGAAAGCTCTGCACACTCCCTTGTCTCCAAGCTGTGGTGTGTGCGCCTCCGTCTTTCTACCCCTGGTCATCCGTTACTTGTTCTTCTGGTCAGTTCAGGTACCACTTCCTCCACGAAGCCTTCCGTGGTCTTCCTCTTCCCCCCTCCAGGGGGGTTAAATGCCCCTCAGTTCTCTCAAACACTCTCCCTTCCCAACTGTCACACTGGTCCCTCTGCATTGTAGGAGCATGTTTTCTTGGCTGCCTCGGGTTCCCCCTGGTGCTGGCACATAGTAGGGACTGAATTGTAGAATACCTGAGGTGGAAGAGCCCCCAGAGATCGTCTGGCCCAAGCGCCCCTCTAGCAGGTGGAAGCACAGAGAGGGGCAGGGTGTGCTCGGGGTCACACAGCACATCATGGCAGAGCTGGGAGCAGACCTGGTGTCTCAGCGTCTCCTCATTTCACACCCCTGCCTCTTGCTTCTGAGCACATCTTTTAAAAAATTTGTTCTCTTATTTTCACAAAAATAATAAATAATTATTGTAGAAAATTTAGGAAACAAACAAAAAGAGGAAAATAAAAAATGCTCAGAGATACTCCTTATTAACTTTTTTAAAATTTAGTACCAGTTTCTGGCCTATGCATAAAAACTTTTAACAAATATATGACCATGCGTACTGTTTTATAAATGTTTTCCACTTTAATGATATATATGGTAATTATATTTCTATGTCAGTAAATGTCCTTCTTCGACATATTGTGAATGGCTGCTTAGGATTCCATCACATGCTTGCATTATAATTGCTAAAGACAATCCCCTATTGTTGGGCATTTGCTATTATAAACAACATCCTTTGCTATTACAAACAGCACTGGGATTCGTGTTCTTGTGGGGAGCTCTTTACACACTTCTGCAATTACTGCCTCTAGGGAAGTTCCTAGAAGTGCAGCTGCTGGGTCTCTGCTACGCTGCGCCCACGCTGAGCACACTGGAGAGTCTTGAGGCTGGGAGGGATTTTGATCTTCACCCCCGGGTCCGGGTCTGAGGCTTACATTCCCTCCCTGGCTGCGCCAGCCCAGGCCTTCACACCTTCCGTCCCTGTCCGGCTGTGGGGAGCTTTCCTGCTAGCTTCCAGCAGCTGCTTCCAGTCCAGTTTAAGAGAGACTGGAGGGCTGGGGTTGGGGGTGCTGTTTGGAGTGAGGAAATTGGGGCCTTTGTGTAGTGGGTGTGGGTGTCTGGTCTCCATTAACTCTCCAGTGAGACCAATACGGCTGGCATGTCCTGGGCGGTGGGTCGGGCTGAGGGGGAGGCAGGCACCCCGAGTTCTGGCTGCTTGGGTGGGCGGAGGCCCAGTGAGAAAGGTGCCTCCCCACTGGTCCCGTGGCAACCTCAGGATCCTGCAGGCAGGGGTTTGGTTGCCTGTAGTCCTGGGCTGGTGTGTGTATCTGTGGGCACGTGCCCCGAGGATGAGGGATGCCTGTTGCATCAGGGGCAGATAGTGGCAGCTGCTGTTTCTTGAGTGTTGCCTGTGCCCAGCTCCTTGGACAGGTTTACTCAGTTGCCCCTTGGCCCCAACCCTGTGCTGCAGGGGCAGTGGTTTCACTGATGCTCCAGAGGGGCCTTCCAGCACAGCCCAGGCTCTGATGCCTCACAGCCCTGGGCGTGAATCCTGGCTTGGCTGCTCTGCCTGAGCCGCAGGCTTTTCATCTGTGGGATGGGGCTGCTGGGCCCATTCGGGGAGAAATAGAGAGGGAGGCACTGCAGGTAAGTGGAGGAAGATGGCGAGGACGTGGTGTTGGGTCGTGATTTAGAATTCCACCTCTAGCTCCCAGGCCTTGCAAATGTTTATTGTCTCACTTTGTCCTGCCTGCCTCTGGAGTTGTCTTGGTCTAGTCTTAGACTCTGATAATTATAATAAGTAGCAGCTGCCATTGTCAACGCCATATGCTAGGTGCTGCTCTAAGTGGTTTGTGCACATGATTGGACTTACTCCCCCAGCCTCCTGTGAGGGGGGTACTGTTGTCAGCCCCATTTCACAAATGGGGAAACTGAGGCTCAGAGAGGTTAAAGAGCTTGCCCCAAATAATGCAGCCAGGTTGGGCAGCAGTACTTGAACTTGGGCCCACCTGGGTTAGGTCCAGTGCGCCCACAGTCAGTGGACCCCCAGAACCACAGTCTGACTCCTCACCTTCTTTTCTTTATTTACTTATTTCATTCATTCATTCATTCATTCATTCATTCAGTTTTGGTGAGGAACATTGGCTCTGAGCTAACGTCTGTTGCCAATTTATTTTGTATGTGGGACACTGCCACAGCATGGCTTGATGAGTGGTGTAGGTCCACGCCTGGGATCCGAACCCGTGAACCCTGGGCCGCTAAAGTGGAGCGCGCGAACTTAACCTCTACACCACCGGGCCGGCCCTGACTCCTCACCTTCTGACTCTCCTCTTCTCTCCACAGCCTTGGCCCTGGGGGCCCCACCAAGCAAGTGGCATGTGGCACCCCCAGGCCTACCTAGTGTCCTCCAGCCCGCTGCCCAGCACCCCCAGGAGGCTCTGACACCCTGGGGCACTTCTCCTGTGCACAGGACCACGTGGGGGTTTGCCATGGTGACATAACGGGGTGCAGAGGAAGGAAGGAGCGCACCCAGCCTGCGGACTGCGCCCCTGGCTGGGAGGAAGGGCCGGGGCCTGATCCTCCACTCCTGGTGCCCACTGAGGGCCTCGCTTGCTAAGTCTCTGTGAATTTGTTGGTCAGTGGACAACTCTGGTGTCTGCTGCCGCGGTGGGCCCTCTTGCTGGGGTGGCCAGGGCAGGCCAGGCCTCCGGTGGCCGAGGTATCTGGGACCAGGATGCCCGCCCTGGCGTGCCTCCGCAGGCTGTGTCGGCACGTGTCCCCACAGGCTGTCCTTTTCCTGCTGTTCATCTTCTGCCTGTTCAGTGTTTTTGTTTCGGCCTACTACCTGTATGGCTGGAAGCGGGGCCTGGAGCCCTCGGCGGACGCCCCCGAGCCTGACTGTGGGGACCCCCCGCCTGTGGCCCCCAGCCGCTTGCTGCCGCTCAAGCCCGTGCAGGCGGCAGCCCCTTCCCGGACAGACCCATTGGTACTGGTGTTCGTGGAGAGCCTCTACTCGCAGCTGGGCCAGGAGGTGGTGGCCATCCTGGAGTCCAGCCGCTTCAGGTACCGCACAGAGATCGCACCGGGCAAGGGGGATATGCCCACGCTCACCGACAAGGGCCGTGGCCGCTTCGCCCTCATCATCTACGAGAACATCCTCAAGTATGTCAACCTGGACGCCTGGAACCGGGAGCTGCTGGACAAGTACTGTGTGGCCTATGGCGTGGGCATCATCGGCTTCTTCAAGGTACGCGGGGAGCAGGGTCCCTGAGCAGTTAAGAGCTCCCGCTGAGCTTGAGTTCCACCTCCACACTCGCTCGCTGAGGGCCTGGCTTTTCTCGTCTGTAAAATGGGTATAATGGTGGCGCCCACCTCCCAGGGTTGTCATGAAGGTTAAACGGGTGAGTGTATGTAAAGCGCTTGGAGCACATAGTGCCTGGTGCCTAGTAGGTGCTTTTTAAGTATCAGCTCCTATTAGGAGCACATGGTAGGGGGATTGCCTGCCATACATGGGACCTTGCACACAGCAGGCACTTGCCTAAAGGAGACCCTGGGGATGGGTGTAAGGCAGGAGAGCAGATGCTCTGCTAGGTCTCTGGGAACCTGTCATGTGGTCCTTCCCAGGGATGGTATGTGTCCCATTTTGCAGATGGCAAACCAAGGCTCAGGAGGGTTAAGTTATGTGTGCGAGGCTATGCAGCCCGTAAGTGGGAGAGCCAGGATTTGAACCTAGAGTTAGACAGTTTGGGCTCTGGATCCTGTGCTCTTTCCTCTTGGCTATGGTGGGGTGTGGAGTTCATGTACCTCTAGAACAAAGCCATTTTACATTGGGAAAAAAGAAGAGAAAGAAATCCCAGTGGGCAGGTGAGACACTCTGGGCTCTGTGAGGCACCCAGAATGACTACTGCAATCAGAGTCCTTGCTGAAAGTGTCATGGAGAAGCTGTCCTTGGAGCGAGGAGGTGGGGGACGGCTGGATGGAGGATCCAGAGGCTCTGCCAGAGAACTCTGACCTGCAGGATGAAAGCGAACACTGGTTGGGACTCCGGTTGGGTGCAGGGCAGGAGGGCGTTGGGGAGGGGCGGCGTTTGTTCCTTCATTCAGCAAATATTTACTGAGAGCTTAGTGTTCCAAGTCCTGTGCTAGGCACTGGGGACACAGTGGTGATCGAAGTGTGCAGAGTCCCTGCTGTCACGGAGCTGACATTTCAGTGCAGTGGGTGGGGTGGGTGACAGACAGTGAACAAATAAACATACCCATGTGGCAGGTGGTGCTAAGTGCAAAAAGAAATAAAGCAGGGAAAGGGCTTACGGGGTGATGGGTATGGGCGGTTGAAGCTGTTTTTGATAGAATAGCCGGGGAAGTCATCCTTGATAAAGTGACTGGAAGGAACTGCATGGCTCTATGTGTGACGGGTCTTCTAGGCAGAGGGGACAGCAAATGCACAGGTCCCGAAGCAGGTTCTTGCTTGGCATGAATGGGGAGAGGAGTAGGAGGTGGGTCAGAAGTGGCCCATGTCCACTGACGGGTGACCACTCGTCCCCAGGCGTTCGTGGGCATCGCTGTGCACTGGGTCCTGTGCTAGGGCTGGGTGGAGCCTGGTCTGGTTGAGGGTTTCCCACGGCGTGTTATTCCGTGCACTAATGCAGCAAGATGCTCTGCCACTAAAAGAGGTTTTGTGGGCCGAGAAGTTGAAGGCCCTTAGAAGTCCCGCAGTAGAGCAACCTAGTGAGATTTGTTCCCCACAAATCACAAAACCCTTCATTTCACAGAGCACTCTCTGGGAAACGCTGGCCTGCTTTATGGCTTTATACTGGCATGAAGTCAGACTGTCCTCGTTGTCTATTGATTCTTTTCTCCTGGACTCCGTTCCCTTTCCTGCTGTGAACTCCATGAAGCTTGAGTCAGAGCCCCAGGCCTGAGAACGTCAGAGCGGCTGACGTTTATTGAGTGCCTGTCCAGCGCTGTTCACGTCCTATATGCTTTCTGTGAATTAACTCATTTCACCCTGAGAGACCGTCCTCCAAGGCAGGCGGGTGTCAGCCTCATTTAAGAGAGAAGGAGTCTGAGGCAGAGTGGTGGAGAAACGTGTGCACGCTCACACCTCGAGTAAGTGCAGATCTGAACTTAGTGGATTTGAGCCCAGGCCGTCTGGCTCTAGTGGCCTGCGTCGTTAACCATTGTTACGTAACCAATGAGTCCAGGAGCCTCAAATACCGTTTGTTTAGTAGAACTTGCATCAGAGGCCACGTCCAGCACACAAATTCCTGCAGTCTCTGGGTCATTGGGCACACTGGGAACAACAGAGCTTGGATCCTATTTAGCCCCTATTCCTTGTTCTACACCAGGTGAACACAAGGCCCAGGGAGGGGCAGGAACGTGCTCAGAGTTTCCCTGTAGGGTCAGTGGCAATTCCAGGTCTTCGTGCTCTCCCTAATCTGTTGCATAAGACAAGCCCCCTCCTTGGTTTTGAGCAGAGGAGGCCTGAGACTTTCTGCTGGAATGGGCGCCCTCTGGTGGTCAAGCTGCATCTTTAGGCTCTCTCTGCAAGGTCTGCCTCAGTGCTGTGCATTGGGCTTGCCAAACCCAGAGGGCTGTGGACTCCTGGGATCTGGAGACTCTCATTTTTCAGTTCCCACTGGCGCTGGATTCCCAGGTCAGTGTGAGAGCAGGGACTGAAAAGTCCAGACCGCAGTTCAAATCTTTCTGTCACTTAGAAGCAGAGTGGCCTTGGGCAGGATTCTCAACCCATCTGTAAAGTGGGACCAATCACAGCTCCTGCCTCACTGGAGCGTGCTGAAGATGAAACAAGACAGTGGGTGGGAAGCACCAGCACAGTACCTAGTACGCAATAAATGGCAGCGGTCACGCTTAGTCATCTCTCTACACCCAGCAAACACAGCTGGCGGTGGCACTTTGTCTTGTGGCTCTGACCAGCGTCTGCCTCTGTGAGGTCCTTGAGGGTGGCAGTGGGTCTTGATCGGTAGCCCTGGTTCCTGGCACCGTCATGCCTCAACCTTGCAACTCCAGGTGCCCAGGTGCCCTGGGGTGGAGGACTGACAGGGGCTACCTGACCTCTGAGCAGGCCGTGCCATGTGTAATTCTCACAGCTGCCCTGTGGAGTAGGCACTTTCTTTTCAGGTAAGGAAGTAGGGCTCAAAAATTTAAGTGGCTGTCTAGAGTGACACAGCAAGTAAGTCAGAGCCAAGATTTGACAACCACACTCATGCCTTCTAACCAACCACAGGCGAACATGTCAGAGCAAACTGACCGATGGGTGGGGGCCCTGAGGCCCGGAGAGGAGACGCCATCCAGCTGGTTACTCTCTAAATCCACTAGGTCTCCCGATTCCCAGATCAGAGCTTCCTTCCTCTGCCTGGATGACCCCATTGGAAGACTCAGTGAATCCTGAGTGGGGCCTCCGGGCGGAGGAGCAGAGGGATTCCCCTCCCGTGGGGGTCAGTCTCTGCCATGCTGAGGCTCACTCTCCATCACCTTCCCCAGCTGCTTCCTTTCGTTGCTGACCGGGGTGGACGATCGGCAACCTGGCTTTCTGCCTTCTTCAGCGTCTCCCAGCTGGGCAGCTGGCCGACTCCAGGGCCTGGCAGTCAGCTCAGGGTCGGGGCTTTGAAATGGGATCCCCCAGGGCCTGTGGTCCAGTGTGGCCTCCCAGGCAGGTGATGGACAGGGCCTGAAATGTCACTGGCCCCCACCGCCTTTGCCCCCATGTGGCCCAAGCCGTTCTCACCCTTGGCCAGTGCTGGCTTAGGGGTCGTGGGGAGCCTGAGGCTGGGGGAGGTGGCCTCTCAGGATGGGGCTCTGCATTGGGCCTCAACACTCGAGGCTGGCTTGGGACGGGGTGGGGAGTCGGCAGGTGCTCCTGTGTGTGGAGAATGGAATGCGGGCTCCTTAGCACAGTTTATGAGGCCGGGGCCCTGCAGAGCCTTTGTGGGAATGAGGGAGAAGACCTTCTGCGTGGAGGAGATGGGTCCCAGGCACCTCCTGGGCAGGTGCAGCTCCACACAGGCACAGGGCTCCGCCCTCAGCTGAGTGTCCCTGTACAGTGCTCACCTGGCGAGCTCTCCAGGTAGCCCTGGGCACCACTTTGCCTCCCTCTCTGGCCTCATTTGGTGCCCTTTCTCTAGTCTTGCTTTGCCCCACCCTAATCATTCTCCACACAGCAGCCACATGGGTCTTGTTAAAATGCGAATTGAAACGTGTCATCCCTCTGTTCAGAACCCTTTGATGGAGTCTTTGATGGCTTCCATGCCACTTCGAGCCTCCAGGGTCCTGCAGGTCTGGCCCCAGCTGACCTCTGTGCCTCATCTCCCTCTTGATCACTCTGCTGGCTTCTTGCTATTCGTTGACTGTGCTGAGCCCTCTCCTACCTCAGGGCCTTTGCACTTGCTGTTCTTGGAACTTGGACCCTGCTTCTCCACTGATTGATGCTTACTCATTCTTTTTTTTTTTTTTTTTGTGAGGAAGATTAGCCCTGAGCTAACATCCATGCCAATCCTTCTCTTTTTGCTGAGGAAGACTGGCTCTGGGCTAACATCTGTGCCTATCTTCCTCTAGTTTATATGGGACGCCGCCACAGCGTGGCCTGATAAGTGGTGCCTCGGTGCGCACCCGGGATCCGAACCCTGGCCGCCAGCAGCGGAGCACGCACACTTAACTGCTACACCATGGGGCTGGCCCCTGATGCTTACTCATTCTTTAAGTCTTGGTTCAAAAGTCCGTTTCTCCAGGAAGCCTTTCCTGACCTAGCTGACTATGCCCAGTTATCTATTCTTCAGGAACTATGAACCTCCTCTGTGTAGCATGTGCCACGTTGAAGTTTCATGTTTATTTCTGCAGTTTTGATTGCTATCTCTCTTACCCTGCTCAACTTTAAGGTTCATGAGGGCAGAGGCCCTGTCTGTTTTTTCTCACTGTATCCCTGGAACTTAATGCAGTGCCTGGCACAGTGAGTAGTTGTGGAATGAACAGATAAAACCTGTATTGAACAGCTATCATATGCCAGGTGCTGGAGAGCTGTCTGTTCCTCTTTCATTCTTTTAAAAATCCAGTTACTCATCAAATATATGTTTGCTCCCACTGGGTGTCAAGCCTATGCTGAGCACCGGGGATCCAAAGTGGAAATGGCATAGCCCCTGCCGTCGAGGGGGTGCAGACTGGTGGGACAGAGATCCTGAACAGAAATGCAGCAGCCAGGGTAAAAAGTGCTGCAGCTGAGGCTTTAATGTGGTCCCAGGGAGGCCAGGGCAGAGAAGAGGGTATATGCATTGGGTTTTGAAGGATGAGCAGGAGTTTGCCAGACCATGAAGATGGAATGGAATTGGCATGGAGACAAGGACAAATTGTAACATATCTAAAGGCAGGTGGCTGGGAGGGTGAGGGATGGCATGAAGGAGCTGTGAGCCTAGGGAGGAGGAGGGGGGCCACTGTGGGTACTTTCTGCAGATCCCAGGGAGCTGGGCAGCAGCAGACCCTGGGAGGAGAAGGAGGCACAGGAAGCTGGACTCCTGTGAGGGGGTGGCCTCGGGGGTGCTAGGGGCGTAAGAGGGGTTGGGAATACTGTGGGGTGGAGTGTCTTTGTTCCTGCATCTCCAGCAGACACCTCTACATTGGCATCCACCTAAGATGTCTCCTGAAGAGATGGTTGTGTGGCACAAGTCAGTCTGGAAACCCTAGACAGGAGAGCCTGGGGGTCAGGTGGGCGGCTCCAGGGCCTGAATGCCTGGCTGCGAATTGTGGCTTCTCCCGACCGCTGTGTGACTGAGGGCAGTACTCGCCTCACAGCCTCAGTTTCCTCACCTGGAAAGTGGGATAACAGAGGAGCCTGCCTCCTGAGGACTGAAGGAGCAGCTGTGATGATGCTGCTGGCCCTGTTCTGAGCACTTTGCCAGCATTAACACTCATCTTCCTCCACCACCCCTTACCATTCTTAGCCACCTTTTACAGCAGACGGAACTGAGGCACAGAGAGGTTACGTAACTTGCTCAAGGACAGGCAGTCTGGTGGCAGAGTCCCTGCTCTCAGCTGCTAGACTTTTCTCTGTGTGATTTTGGGTAAGTTACCTAGCTTCTCTAGGTCTCAGTCTCCTAATCTGTAAAATGAGTGAAGCAACGCCTCCATCACTGGGTCATTGTAAGGGTACACAGCATCCCTGTATGCAAAGTGCGTGGAACCTGATGCCTAGCTTGGGAAGTGTGTCATAGGTGTTAGCCAGTACATTATTATGACGTGTGGAGCAGGGTTAGCACAGGGCCAGTGATATGGTGAGCCCTCCATGAATGTTAGTGAATGTTGTTGCCATTACTGTTATGGGTCCATACCTGAGATTCCATGGTCCTTTGGGGTTCTGGATCTGACGGCTCTGTTCCCCCGCCCCACCCGCAGGCCAATGAGAACAGCCTGCTGAGTGCGCAGCTCAAAGGCTTCCCGCTGTTCCTGCACTCGAACCTGGGCCTGAAGGACTGCAGCATCAACCCCAAGTCCCCGCTGCTCTACGTGACGCGACCCAGCGAAGTGGAGAAGGGCGTGCTGCCCGGCGAGGACTGGACCGTGTTCCAGTCCAACCACTCCACCTACGAGCCGGTGCTGCTGGCCAAGACGCGCTCGTCCGAGTCCATCCCGCACCTGGGTGCAGATGCCGGCCTGCACGCCGCACTGCACGCCACCGTGGTCCAGGACCTGGGCCTCCACGACGGCATCCAGCGCGTGCTGTTCGGCAACAACCTCAACTTCTGGCTGCACAAGCTCGTCTTTGTGGACGCTGTGGCCTTCCTCACGGGCAAGCGCCTCTCGCTGCCCTTGGACCGCTACATCCTGGTGGACATCGATGACATCTTTGTGGGCAAGGAGGGCACGCGCATGAAGGTGGAGGACGTGAAGGTATGGCTGGGGGTGCCAGGCCAGGTAGGGCGGAGTCTCACCACCTTCAAACCTTGATATTCTCTATCATGAGTTTGCTGTGTGTATCTCCTCTGAGCTGTTGGTCCCCTTCCTTCTGCCAGTTGATTTTATTAATTGTCCAATTAGAAGCCAGTGTCATTTAAAATTATATTGAAGTACAGTCATCCCTAGATATCCGCAGGGGATTGGTTCCAGGACCGCCCCGACCTGTGGATACCAAAATCCGTGTATTTGCATATAACCTACGCACATCCTCCCGTGCACTTTATTTATTTATTTTTTCGGTGAGGAAGATTGGCCCTGAGCTAACATCTCTTGTCAGTCTTCCTCTTTTTGCTTGAGGTGGATTGTCACTGAGCTAACATCTCTTCCAATCTTCCTCTATTTTGTATGTGGGATGCTGCCACAGCATGGCTTGAAGAGCAGTGTGTAGGTCCACACCTGGGATCTGAACCCGTGAACCCCAGGCCACTGAAACAGAGCGTGTGAACTTGACCACTATGCCACTGGGCCAGCCCCCTCCCGTGTACTTTATTTATTTATTTATTTTCCCCCAAAACCCCAGTAGATAGTTGTATGTCGTAGTTGTACATCCTTCTAGTTGCTGTATGTGGGACGCGACCTCAGCGTGGCCGGAGAAGCAGTGCGTCGGTGCGCGCCCGGGATCCGAACCCAGGCCGCCAGTAGCGGAGCACGTGCACTTAACTGCTAAGCCATGGGGCCGGCCCCTCCCGTGTACTTTAAATCATCTCTAGATTGCTTATAATACCTAGTACAATGTCAATAGTTGTTATACCGTATTGTTTAGGGAATAATGACAAGAGAAAATGTCTGTAGAGGTTCAGTACAGATGCAGCCATCCTAGGCCTTTCGATCCTCTGTTGGATGAATCTGTAGACGCAGAACCCGTGGATACGGGGGGCCGACTGTATTGAATACAGAGAAAGTTTGCCTCTGGAGCGTGACGCTCAAGAATACGTCTACAGAGGAAGAGACCCAGTCACCAAAACACAGAGATGGAGCTGTGCAGGGTTGTTTATCTGCCTTTAATCCAGACATGATTTTTAACTCTCAAAAATGTTTATGTCAGTACCAGAGCTTCTACAAGACTCCTTAAGAGCTAGAGCTTGAATCTTACACAAGGCATATTTTATATGTATAGATAGTGCAATGCATGTGCTTAATTCAAAATGTGTTTACCAAGCTAAACTGTATGTAAAAGCATTTTGCAAACCAGGAAATTCTACACAGATGTATCACTACTAAAGAGAAGCCTGCAAATTAAGACCATTAAGCAATCTTTAAAATACACTTCTCCCCTGCTCACTGTTTTACTCAAAGTTATTTGAAAGGGAACGCCATCACTAGTGTCAGTGGGGACATTGGTGTTGGTTGCCATAAATAGAGGGCAGCCATAGCAATAGAGCCAAAGACAAGCCGGGGATTAAAGTCTGGAGATGCTGCCGCCTGCTGACCATCTGTCCTCTCTTATACGAGATTAGCAAGCGTTAGAAACCTATTAGCACCAAACCAAGATTCTTTTTGATGTTAGGAGGAGGATTGAGAAGGAGACTCTGAGAGGAGTGCTTTGTCCCTGGGGGAGCCAGGCTGGGGTGCTCTGCTTTCTGTCCCCTGAAGTCACGGTCGGGATTGGCCCTGGGCCTGAAAGGGAGGCCCTGGGGGCTCGTCCTCCTGTCCACTTTACCTCACATCTCCGGAGGAGGGGAGCGGAGCAGATGGTGTCGGGGCGCAGGCACCGTCTGGGGAGTCAAGACCTGGGTTCAAGTCCCCATTTGACCCTGACTGACTGGGTCAAAGTCCCTTCCCCTGTCTGAGCTTCGGCAGGGAAATGACAAGATGGGGTGGATGGGAGGCTTTCAGGCTGTTTCCTGGTACCCCAGGGGTTTCACAGAGGGGCCTGGATAGCTGGCTGAGGGGATATGTGCCCAGGGGCCAGGCTCTGAGCCTCCCAGCTTTGCTTCCTCGTGGGACAGGGTAGTGTTGCTTTGACCCGCTTTACACTTGTGCTTCCTCCTGAGACTTCACTTCATCAAGGGCTCTCCTGTTGAAACAAAGTTGTTTTTGTTTTTGTTTTTTGCTGAGGAAGATGCACCCTGAGCTAACATCTGTGCCAGCCTTCCACTACTTTGTATGGGGGTCGCCGTCACAGCATGGCCACCAACCAGTGGTGTGGGTCTGTGCCCGGGAACCAAACCCGGGCTGCCAAAGTGGAGTGCACCAAACTTAATCACTAGGCCATGGGGTCGGCCCGAAACAAAGTTTCAAGATGACTCTTGTTGAGCCCTTCAGCTCTAAGGCTTCATGCGATGCCACGACCCACCTCTAGCAAAGTACAGTCGTGCACCGTATAACTACATTTCAGTCAGTGATGGCTGACGTATACGATGGTGGTCCCATAAGATTAGTTCCATACTGCCTAGGTGTGTAGTAAGCCCTACCATCTAGGTTTGTGTAAGTACATGCTATGATGTTTGCACAATGACGAAATCACCTAACAATGCGTTTCTCAGAAAGTGTCCCCATTGTTAAGTGATGCATGACTGTAGATTGCTCTGTTTTCTACTTAGAATGTTCTTCCGGTGGCCCAAACTTGCTCTCTCCTGCTGTAACCTTAGGTCTTTGCTGCCTGTCCAGGATTGACCACACAAGGAAACCAGGCTACCAGGCTCACTGCGTCCCCCGTGAACCGTGGGGTTGCCCTTCTTGGTTCTTATTTTCCCCATTTTTAGAGTGAGAGGGATGATGGTAGTTTGGAGCCATTTCTGTGGAAGAACTAACAGAGACGCCCTCTGCCGTGCACTCAGCTCAGTGCAGGCTGCAGGGCGCTTCGCCAGCCAGGGTCCCATTCACCCTCAACATCCTTGTGAGTCAGAAAGGGCAGAGGTGTTTTGTTTTTTGAATCCCAAGCCAGGCTACAACGGAGCCTTTGTTTCAGAGACATGAATGTCGCCCCATGAACTCGTGCAGTACTGGCTGTCCAGTGCACTTTTTCTCCCCATGAACTCCTCCATCACTGGGTCATTGTAAGGGTACACAGCA